CAGGTGCTATCTTTTCCCTCTTTTTGTATTCCTGGGGCTTAACACAGTGCCTGGCATGTAGAAGGCACTTTAAAAGTGTTTATTGACTAATTGGAATGACATGGTCAGATCTATGATTAAGGAAAATCACCATGGCAGCTATGTGAATAAACGAAAAAACAACTATTAAGTGCTATGTGCAAAACACTGCACTAAAGGCTAGGGATACAAACAGAAAAAGATCTACTTTCAAGGAGCTTACATTCTAATAGGGAAAATCAACACAATGAGTAAGTTTTAGCTGCAAGTCAGATGGAAAGGTCTAGTGGTGAAGAGGCAAAGGAAATTGTAGTGCATTTTAAACACGTCATTTCCACTGATAAAACCCTATTTCTGGCATTGAACCATTTGACAGTGCCAAAGGCTTTTGTGGCAAGAATTTTCTTTTCTAAATTGTCAGTGGCTGAGCAGGGTTCCATTGCTTATACCTGCAGAAGCTGTTGCTGGGTTGCAGGGTTGTTAACTTAGATGATGGCTTCAGGGATCAGGATATCTCTACTAGGATCTGAGAAGAGATGGCAGTGGTTTGACATCCCTGTTATATGCAACCTCTTCTTTCTATGTTCTGTTGCTCCAGCTTTATTTGACTTGCCTGTCCTATGGGTAATAATTGATTTGGAATGGCTGGTTCTTCCTCAACAGGGATTGTTCACTAGGATGATAGTCTTGAAGGTCAGGGCTAGAAGCATGGCTAGGAAGTATCGCTATTCTGAGGGCTCTTGGTGTTACCTTCCCATTAATGGCAGTAGTTGGTGTTGGTGATTTAGGATAGCAGGTCCATTTTTTATAAGGATAGTTGAATAATGCCTTTGGGGGCCAGGAAGGAGGGCCAGTAGTATTCCCAGGGATCTTGGGCCTCAGCATCCTGAGTTGTTTCCACAAGGGCCATTTCTTGCTTCTTAAGAGTGCTTTGTTGTTTTGTTTAGGCTAGCTTGCCTGTCTTGAGTGGCAGCTGGTGGAAATAGCTGGCTTGTTCTCCATAGGGGTTGCTCCCATGAACAATGGCTGGTAGTGGATGGATTGTTTTAGGCACTCAGCAACTCTGAGATAGCTGTTTGTAAACATATAATCTACTAATGTCCTCCCCTACTTCTGGCATCTGATTAAATTCTAGTGTATTAAACTATGCTCTGGCCACATTCTCTCAGGGTCAGGCTACATTTCCACCTACAGGGTTCTATGGTACCCTAAGGACTGGAGTATTTTTCTCTACTGCCACATACTCAAGCCTGAACTAGTTGTATTTCACCCATTGTTAGGTGCCAATGGTCAACATCTCCATTCCATCTAGCCACTTAATATCAGGTAGCTTTTACAAGGGGACATTTACTTCAAAGACATAGCAAGAATAAAGTACATTTCCTCAATACTTCAAAGAGGCATACTCTTCTCTATACCACCTGAGTTGGGGAGAGTTATAATGTAAGGAGAGGAGAAGAAATAAGTATTTATATAGTGCTTACTATGCTCCAGGCACTGTGCTAAGCATTTTACAAACACCTCATTGATCCTTAAACAACCTTGTGAAGCAGATGCTGTTATTATCCTCATTTTACAATTAAGAAAACTGAGAAAAAGTTAAGTGACTTGCCCAGAGTCACATAGCTATTAAGTGTCTAAGACTGTATTTGAATTCAGATTTTCCTGACTCTAGCACTCTATCTACCTAGCCACCTAACTGCCTCTAAGGTAGGGAGGAATGGAGTAGGCTTCATTTTGCTTGGTTCCTATATAGCACTGGTCACACCAAGTTCAAATCCAAAGATAGTGGAATGCGCCATCATCTCTGCTTTAGCTGGGCAGGGAACTCCAACATCCTCTTTGCTTCTCAGCATGCACTGATACTGAGCTGATTGTAACACCCAGTCTGAGTTCCAGATCCCAGATTCCTATAACTTGTTCCTCCAGCTTTTCAAAACTCTCAAGGCCAGAGATTCTACTTCCTTCACTGAATGCCATTAATGAAGGAGTCCCCAAGATTTCCCAGAAGTAAATAGGCAAAGAGATTGTAGCTGATGCTGACTGGCTTTCTGAAGATACTGATGTTTTAATGATGCAGCCAATTGAAAAAAGCTCCTCCCAATTATGAGGTCAGTCAACTAAAACTAGTTATGGGAATGTCAGCACCTTTTCCACAATCTCTCCAAGATTACTTATACTTTTCCCTTATACTTCATCAGAATTCTCCCAGAAGCAGGCTCCCCAAGTTCTTCAGGTAAAGAAATACCATCCCAGGTGCTCTAAGCATGAACCAGACCCCCATTACACTAGGAACACCTTTTCAATATTCCATAATTCACATCCACTTCACATTCCATAGTTCTATCTTTCAATACTGTTTCTCCATGCTCTCATTTTTTCCCTTTCTCCATATCCTTTATTATCTCTAGATCCTGAACATTTCCACTTAGGATAATTGTCCTCTCTAACTATGACTCCCCTCCCCACTTTCCCTTAAAGTTTTCTGATACCAAGATGTGAGCCAGGGTTAACTCTGTTTCTGAAATACTAAAATACCACATTCATTTAAATGACCTGAAAATAATGAAATGTTCATTTTAATGAGAAAAAAGGTCTGACCACCCCTGCTAGAGCATCTTGTCCAACTTCAGATCCCCTATGCTGCTCTCCACAAACAGCAGCCACCCTACCTTTCCAGCCTTCCTTTCTATTACTTCCCTTCACTCACTCCAATCAAAGCATTCCCTGAACAGTCTTGTATTTTCTCATCTCTATGCCTTTCAGGGGCTACTCCTTGTGCTTTACAAGGCTCTCCTATGCCCACTTTATTCACTGAATTCTTATCTACGCCCCACTGAAATGCTTCTTCCTTCATGAAGCCTACCCTGATTCTCTCCCCTCATCTGACCCCATCAGTTACCATTAATAACCTTGGGGGGAGGGCCCTCACAGTACATTGTTTTGTTCCTCTAAAACATTCATCATATAATATTGCTCCTTGAGGGAAGGGATCATAGAGGTCATCTAATCTAATCCATGTGAGGCAGCTAGGTGGATAGAGTGCCAGACCTAGAGTTGGGAATACTCATCTTCCTGAGTTCAAATCTGGCCTCAGACACTTAGTAGCTGTCCGTGACTCTGGGCAAATCTCTTAACCCTGTTTGCCTCAGTTTCCTCATCTGTAAAATGAGCTGGAGAAGGAAATGGCAAACTACTCCAGTATATTTGCCAAGAAAACCCTAAATGGGGTCATAAAGAGTCAGACACGATTGAACAACAATCTAATCTGCTGATTTTACAAATGAGGAAAGAACTGTTTTTCCTATTATGTTTGTATCCTCAGCTCCTAGCACTGGCTTTTGTACACAGTAGGTCTTTAATAAATGCTTGATAAAACTGTATTTGTATCTTAATGGTTAAACTCCAAGAGGACAAGGCCCATGTCTCATCTAAGTTTGTATTTCCCAGGTTAGCATAGCTTTCTGCACTCAGTAAGTGTATAAATATTGCTCAGTGTATATAACGGATGCAAGAACTTTTTAAAAAATTATAAATGTGAAAGTGTAAAACCTCTGGTTCATTTAACAAAAGGCTATATTATATATATGAAAGACAGTGAGAGAAAAGACATAGTGGATAGTTAGCTGGTAGAAGTCAGGAACACCTGGGTTCAAATCTTGCATCTGACACCTACTGAATGATCCTTGGTAAATCATTTAATTCTCAGTAAGAATTAAAGTTGGAGATACAGTATCAACATGCCTTGGTAATGAGAATTTCCTTGCCTTGGAGTTCCCCATACTAGTGAAATTGCAAGTCCAGTACCTATCTCTATTGTGACAAAAATCGTATTGCTTCTTTGTAGTACTGTTCATTACATTTAAGGGAAATCAGCCCATCAAAAAACATGGGGATATTTTAAGTCAAGAACGATAACATTAAAAAGGCTTTACAAGAGAATCCCTGGTTTAGAGTTTCAATACTTGGAATAAATCACCTAGAATTAAGAGTACCCAACATTGATACAATTATACAAATCACACATGCAAAACTGTATCTACCTTTCAGTTACAGTTTACAAGTTTGTGGTATATAAAAAAAGGGAACAGCCAGCCTGCTTCAAGATTCTCTCGCTTCACATCCCTTGCAAGCCTCTCATTAACTTGTACATGACTTTCATCAATGCTGAAGCACACCAAAGAACTCTGCTTCCAGACTGAGCCATAGCTTTGGGGAGGAAAATTAATTCAGGAAACAATACCACCCAGATTAATAAAAGATTTCTTGTACTTGAAAAAAGGTGGGGGGAGGCTTATTTTTAAAATAAAACCAAATCCCCATAAAAATTATTTCAAAAAATCTAAATAACACCATTTTAAGAAGCTTAATAGAGAATTTGTATTCAAGAGTCTTGTGAAAAAAGAAAAAGGAAGTCTGTGAAACAGAAAACATTACACACATGGAAAAACAAACGACCTCATATTGAACAAACAAAATGCATCACCTTCAACACATCATTCCAGCTAAGATTAAGACTTGGCCTATCTTCTGACATAGCAATTTCCTTTCAGAGTTGACTTGGGCTGAACCCTCCAGTGGCCTTTTTCTGAGTGGGCTGGCTCACTGGCTTAGAGTCATGGGGCCATAGGACCTGGAGCTGGAAAGGGTCTCAAGAGGGTCCTCTTACTCCAGAAGGAAGGAATGCCCAGAGGAGAGAAGGGGAGTCCCCAAGATCACACAGGTAGGGCCACAGTGACAAGAGGCATCACTGTAGGGTGGTCTGGTCTTAACCCAGCCTTTGGCCCGAAGACAAACTGGGAAATGGAGCCTCTGGACGAGGGTTAACCGTCCCAAGGTCCCCCAGGCTGAGTGGGGGACAGCGGGAGAACCCCAACTCCGGGCTTCTCCCCCAAATCTAGTCCCCTTTCTATTGAGGACCTAAAGGGGGGAAAACAAGTATGACTTTAAAGAGGCTGGTCTGGAGAGCTGGTTATCCCTAGGATCCGGTGTCTGCCCGGAAGGGACAGCGCAGCCTCAGTTTCCTCATCTGCAAAATGGGCAGGGAAGAGGAGAAGCCCCTCGGGAGGAGGGCTTAAGGAGGTTTCGAGCCAGAGGCTTCGGGAGAGCCGAGAGGGCAGGGACCGAGGGAGGCCGGCCCGAAGGGGCTCGGTCGGGGCGGGAGGAGGAAGGCGAGGCGAGGCGGGGTGGGGCGGAGCGGAGCGGAGCCGGGGTGAAGGGGTTAGAGAACAGGCGGGCGAGGCGAGGCCTGGGACCAGCACAGCGGGCTCTGCCCCCGCCCGGGGGGAGGGGAGGACTGGGCTGGGCGGGGCTGGGCCGCCGCGCTGGGGGTGGGGCAGGCTCGGAGGTGACGGTTGAAAGAACGTTGGAGCTGGGGGAAGGGAGGAGGGGGAGGGGCGCGCGCTCAGGAAGGGGCGGGAAACCCGCGAGAGCTCGATCGCGAGCAACGCCCGGAGGAGATAGCGCGCGAGCTACCGAGCGCGCGGGCGGGCTGGGCCGACTCTGGGAGGGAAAGGGGGAGGAGCCAGGCCAGCCCGCCCCGCCCCCTCCAGACGGAGGAGGTGCCCGGGGCAGCTCACCACCGGCTTCCTCCGCGGAGAATTGCTGGGGCGGGGGTGGGGAGGACTTGAAGGTAAAACTGGTCCCCCCAGTGGCTTTTCTTCACCCCTACGCGCTTCCCACCTAGGGGAACTGGAGAATTGGATGTGGGAGGAGGGAGTTCCCTAGCTGTGTCGAGGGGGAAAGAATCCGCTCCGGGATTTCCCGCCCCCTTTAAACTCTCTACACTCTTCGAACGCACTCGGACCCTTCCGCCGCCTCCGCCGGGACTCGTTCCGCTTCCCCCACGCTTCACTTCCTTTGAGAGAAAGATAAAGCGGGGAGAATCCCTCCAGCCCCGATCCCCCTGGCCCGTCCACTTTCCGAGGACAGACCACCGTGTCCCTGCTCGGGAGTGCGTCTCCCTCCTCTCCCGGTGCGGGCTTGAGGGACTACTTAACGCGCGGCACGCCGCGTGCGTGCGCTCGGGGGAGTGAGCTCAGAGAGCTTCCTGGAAACTCCCGCCTCCCGAAGTCGGGGGAGCGGGGCCGGGAAGGGCGGTGCGGCTCTGCCTCCCAGCCCCCGAGCGGCGGACTCCCCACCCCCTCTCCTTCCCGCCCCCGCCTAGCTCCACGCTCGCAGCGAGCGGGAACAACAGGCTCCTGCTGCTGCCCCCTGCCGGCGGGCTCGGCGCGCCCCGCCCTGGGAGCCTCGCGCGCCCCTCCGCCGCCACCGCCGTGCGAGGGTCCGCGTGCGCCTCCGCGGCGACGCTGCGCGACTCACGCCTCGGGAGAGGAGAGCTGGGCGCCGGGCCGGGCCGGGCCGTTCCGCGCCGTGGCTTTGTAACGTTTGGGAGCAACCCCCAAAGTTACCGATTTCCTGTAAGAAACCCCAAAAGTTGCGTCAGAGGAGCCCCGCGGGGCCAACGTGCTCCCCTGCCGGGGGTGGGGTGTCACGCTCTAAGGCCGCGGCTCAACCCCTCCCCGCCCCCCTGGGTCCAGTGACCTTCCCGAGTCTTAAACAACAGGAAGTGGTATTTTGGGACTCTGGGAGGGCGGCCACGCTTTCCCCGCTCGGAAAGGCGCTGAGGAAGCCGCCCAGAGCGGCGGCCCCCGCGCGGACGCGGGCTTTCCCCGGGCCCCGGGCCGGCGCGCTCCGCGACTCCCGGGGGCCATGTGGTCCCGAGTCTTCCGAGAACTTTTCTGGAAGAGTTGGTCCCTGTTCCCCAATGGGCGCCGGCCGTTCGCCGTCGGAAAGGGCACGAAAGGCCGGGCGGAAAAGAGCCGCGTTGCAACATCAAGCCACGTTTTCTCGATTTCGTGATGTTTTAAAACTCAGGCTGGAACCTCGTGTGCGAGCTGTTCAGGGCAGCGAGAGCTCTGGCTGCCGGATCACCAATTTCTCAGAACGAGGGATGTTCGACCAAATTGCTGCCAGGCCTCATAAACAGGCACTAACAGCACTACCATAATTAGACCTTATTATGTTCCTCATTTGATCCAGTGCAGGATGAAATCCCCAAGGCGGGTGTCACTAGCTATCTCTTCTCTGGAACAGAATACAAGGGCGTTTTATGCGTAATCTCTGCCCGTTTGCCATGCTTGTCTGCCCTCTGTTCGCATTACTCCTAGTCAGTCATATTTCCCATTTCTTCTTAAACACGAACAGATATAGGTCATTTTTCACGCTGCTGTAGAAAAAAAATCATTAGTGCTGAACCAGAAATCATTTCTACACTGGGATAACTTCTCCGAGGGAAAAAAGATTTTGGCCAAGAAACTGAATTTTGTTTAACTTGAGGTCCTCAGGGTTTCAGTATGACTTGCTGAACATAGTTAAACCAGCCTAATTGCTTTTTTTGTTCTGAGCCTCATTGCATTTATTTAATGTTATATATTTAACATGATTTGAAACGAACCAGATGAGCTAAACTGTTTTCAAGAGTAGACCATACTTCTGATAAATTTTGTACATTTTTGTACCACCTTGATATTTTAACTCGAAAACCTAGACATGCAAGTGCTTTGTTCACCGTTTTTTTTTAACCACACCCAGGGATTTGAATGCACAGCTGTGGATAAAAATTGAGAACACAGACTATTTAATTTTATCAACAAATTATAACTAGTATTATAGGAGCCAAATTCAGATTGCTGTCAGGAAAAAAAAAGGAATTGTTTGATAGGGAGAAAAGAAGAGGTTATGCTTCATTTCATCCATGAACAGTTTCTCATTTACCTAACCTTTACTCTTTCCACTTAGTAACTGTTTTACTCTGTTCCTCATTTGCCCCACAGTTAGAGTCATGCACACACAAATCATTCTTAAGTCTCCTTAATGTCTTTATTAGCCTTTCTGAAGCCTCAATTTCCCCATATTTAAAATCGGAATAAAGTGCCATATGTGCCGGAGATGCCAAGTGAATTATATTGATTTTTAATAATTGTACATAGTGACTATGTAGTTTGAAATACTATTTTTAAAATCAATTTTTATAAAAAAACAATTTTGTTTCACTTAGATGAGGGTCAGTCTTGTAGTCAGGAAGACCTGGCTTCAGATCCTGCTTCTAACACTAGCAATGGGATTAAGTTATTTACTTAACCTTTTTGGTACCTCAGACAACCCTTTCAAACTGTCAGTTACGGAGCTGCAGGTCCTCCTGGGTGAAGAGATATACCACACCTGGAGTATTTACCACAGCCTGGAGGTTAGTTCCTCACATCAAAACCATTACTAGAAATTTTTTGTGTCTTCCAAGTACTACAACAACTTGGTGAGCCACCCTTATTTGAGGGGGTGGGGCATACGGGACATGTCCCTGTCTTGAGATACAGACCTTGAGAAATGGGGTGAAGCTGCTGCTAAGGTACTTACTGAACAAGGTGTGTGTATGGGGGGTTCAGTCTACTAATTAACAGCTTAAGAATTTAATTATTCTTTCTAGACGCTAAGTACTGTTGCTTCTATGCTCCAGAAGGACTGCAAATACCATCAGAACCCCAATAAATTTGGTGCCTTCCAAGTCCACTGGGCTGGGAAGAAGCATTAGTTGCCATGCCCTAAGTTCTAGCTCTGTGTTGGGGGCAGGCAAGCATAGAGCACAGGAAGGCACGGATGTACATATATACACAGTGGAGGATAACTTGCACTGCTTACCTCATGGGGATGTGCACTACAGAAACGTGAGGTGTTATAAAACGAACCTTAAAACCAGGACCCAATGAACCAGAGCCATAAAGCCTGTAAACGGCAGCTGCCCTTATATGAGCCCAAAGGAGGAAACTGCATGAGAGAGTCAGCTCCTTTTGTTCTATCTTTTAAGGTCTCTTGCCAAAATGCTGGGGAAAGTGGCTTCTCCAAAACTGGTCATCTTTTGGACTGTACACACCACCAATTGGTTCACCGCCTAATCCTTTTTCTACTCTGAAGGCACCCTATGTGATCAATGTCTGGATGATGTTTTCACCAGAACTGGAATAAAAGTGAAACATGTTGAGATATGCTTGGGCAGAGAATTCCCAAATCAGATTACCCTCTTGGAAGCACAGTCTGACTGCAGAGCATATGTGGTATAAAGGCTAACAGGGCCAGGCATGGCCAGTCTCACCCAGTAATCATGTTTCAGAAATACCGAACTTACTCTGTGGAAGACTGACATTATAAAGAAGAAAAATGTTTAGAATGAAATGTGGTGTGCCTGGTGTTAGACAATGTAGGAATTGGGGTAAAGCAGGAGAAGGAAAGGGGAAAGGAAACAAGGGGAAAAAAAAAGGCAGTAAGGCCTAGTGGTAAGAGCACTGAATTGGAAGTCTCTGGTTTACCAACTCCCCTACCATCTCTGCTTTGTGGGCCTCAAAATCCTCATCCACTTGACAGTGAATAAAGTACTAACTAGACTTGTAGTCAGCGGAACTAGGGTCAGTCACTTCTCTTTATAAAATGGGGATGATACCTGCACTGCCTACTTCACATGGTTACCGTGAGGCTTAAATGACAGTCTTGGAGAAGAGCTTTGCAGACCTATGGAAAATTGCTATACAAACGTCAGTTATTTTTAGTAGCTGTAAAATGAGGAGGTTGAATTCTGTAACCTCCCAGTTCTTTATAGCTTTAAGTCTTATGATCCTAAATGTAAGCATGGGTGCATGTAGAGTTTAGTGCCATAAGAGCAGTGATAAAGGTGAAGGTCACTCATGGGAAAGAGATGGAGGTGGGGTGAATAGTCATAAAATATTAGAGCTGAAAAGGACTTTTGAGGTTGTCTAGTCAGTAATATTTTAGAGATAAGAGAACAGGCAGAGGGTTTAGAAAACTTGATCAAGGTGACACCCATAAGGCAGTGGTAGAGCTATGTGGCAGATGGAGGAGAGGGGAAGATGGTCAGATTCTTGTGTCCATTGAAATCTGCAGATGAATTTAGTATTTATGAATTTGAAAATAAGAAATTCTCCAGCCTTAAGCATGTGGTTCTTGGGGAATCTAGGTCCCATCTACCCAACCCTGATCGGTGACCATAGGACATTAAATATCCTTAGGGCACTGATGGATCCTGAGCATCTAGATTCCTCCGAGTAGCGACCAGCACCAGGACTCCTGTCAAATAGTTTTTTTGTTGTTGTTGTTGGAGGCAGTGGGGGTTAAGTGATTTGCCCAGGGTCACACAGCTAGCTAGTAAGTGTCTGAGTTCGAATTTGAACTCAGGTCCTCCTGACTCCAAGGCCAGTACTGTATCCACTGTGCCACCTAGCTGCCCCCAAATAGTTTTTTAAGATAGAGAAAAGAGCATCAAGGTCTCCACGTTAGTCCTGCAGTTCTCTTTTTTCTACCACACTGCCATGATCATGCTGTCTGCCACGTTGCAACAACTGCAACAACTGTGAAATCCCCGTATCCAACCATGACCTATCATCCTCCCACCTGCCCCAATGTCTTGCTCCTTCTAATCCCAACATCCATCATTGCTTCAATCTACTTCTTTGTTTTCCCAGGCTGTCAACCCTGTTCTGGCTTCACTTTGCTCCCTTCAGAATTTTGAACCTTTAGTTAACTAGTTCAACTTTATGTTGTTTGTCTCTTGAATCCTTATCCCATTGTCCTGTTGCCCATATCCCCTTTGAGATCCCAATCCTGTTTGATACCCCCCCCATCTAACTTCTCCACTCCTGATCACCTGCTTCTAGTGAAGTCACACGACTGTACAGATTAGGTCACCTATAAATTTGTTACCCAATTCCAACAGGGTCCTCATTGCTGCACACAAGTTTGTTTTTTTTTTTTTTTACTCTTCCCTAATTAACTCTGTTGAACTGCTGACAATGGTTGTTCCAAAGCTCTTCTAGCCACCTGTATTACTACCTCTCTCCATATTAGTAAGGTGTGCTAAGAGCAGTAATATCCTAGGGCCTTGCTGTGTGGGCTGAGCTAGCTTTTTCTAGGGTGCTTGCACGCTAGGTTGATTTTTCTTTTAAAGGTATTGAAACTGATTTTGGGACTTAATTGGCTCAGGGGACTAAGGCCTAAATGCCTGAAGCAGTGTCATAGTGCAAGAGGAGTCAGGCTTCCCCTCAGCAGGCTAACATGACCAGCATGAAGACAGGGAAGTGGTCCCCAACTAAATCAATGCTATGTTCCTGCTAAATTTCCTTTCCTTGCTATGGTTAAGGAAATCTTCTTTTATAAACTGCCGGATAATCTACAAATGGCTTATTTGGTTCTAATCCTGAGCCTGAACCATTGGACTGGCCTGAGTCAGGCTTAATCCACACACAATAAGAGGATTTTGCCTTATAGTGTACTGAAAAAATAAGTCTTTTCCTTCTTGAACACCTTCTTCCCAATCTACCATCAAATCACCTTAATATCATCTCCATCTTTTCCCCTTTGTTCTAGTCTTAGAGAATAAGGTGGCCCTTCTTCACAATGCCAGTCCCTTTACTTGTGCCCTTGATTGTATTTCTTCCTTGAACCTCCAAGAACATGCTTCTTTGATGGCCCACTCTCTCTCTAGTTTTCCACTGCTCCTTATCTACTGGTTTTTGCTTCCTACTAAAATGTCATATCTCCCCCATTACCACCCCCCGACAAAAAAAGTCAGTTGACTCTACTGTCCCCAGAAGCTATGGTCTTATATCTCTCCTACCTTTCACAGCTCAACTCCTAGAAAAAGTTGTTTACCCATCTTGCTTCTACTTTTTACCCCCCACTCATTTCTTAAACCTTTTAAATTTGGATCTTTTCCCCACCATTTGATAAGCTTTCTGCAAGGTCACCAATGAATTCTGTAATACCTCCTCCAACCTGTATTTGAATTTATGGGTTGGATCCCTAGAAGATGATTGGTACCTCAGATTCTAGGGGTAATCCTGTGGGTGGCTACTTCTACTACTATAGCTCTTGAGCCCCTACTGGTGTACCTCCCATTAATAATCAGCCAGTAGACTTAGCTTTTTTCTTTTTTTTTTAAAAGAC